GCGCTCTCTTGGTGATAGTAGGAGGGGGAATATACGGGAGTGATAACCGTCACGGCTTCGAGTCCACATTACGTGGTGCTGCAACTTGAATGACCTCCTCGACTGTTGCCAACTCAGCCTGGTCACGGCACTAGGCAGGCACCTCAGACATTGGATGCAGGGGCGTATGGTGAGTCGTGAAGCAACACTTGAATGTGGCTTGAATGAAGATGCTTGATATCAACAACTAGTGTTATTGAAGAATGACGCTATGCCTTGCATGGAAAAGTGAAGATTTTCTTTTTCTTTCTGCCCGGTCTCTCATATCGCGTATTATCAGTGTGGCGTTGCTAGTCGATCACACCTCCTTGCCGTCTGTCGTAAGTTACCTCCTGATAGCCCCCCCCACCAACTGCATGAGTGAGTCAGCTCAAGGCATTGCTCTCTGCATAAGAGATCTCTACCCACAGGATTACGACGATGAGCAGTGCATAGTGTGTTACACCCCAACTCGGCTTCTCGACCTCCAGTGCTCCATCTGTCGTGTATACGTGTGCAAGGAGTGCTTGCCGCAGCTACAGAAACCGGCTGAATGCCCCCATTGCCGTTCCCATAGTATCTGGCAACGATTAAACGCGACGGGGCTCAGGATGCACAAGTTGGTGATATCCTTCTTGACTGAGTGCATCGTTGGCACTCTGGAGGGGGCAGCGGCACGACTACCACCGATGAGGAGGAGGAGGAGGTCGCTAACTGGTGAGGTAATTTCGTGGCGCGTGACGGTTTGCGATGGCTGTGGCTCGGTCATGGACAGCATATCCCATTGTAGTGTATGCCATGGTTGCTCAGCTGAAGACAACAGCGGAGCGGAGTTTATTAGTTGGTCCTCTTCCCGGCTGTATACACCGTCTTTGTTGGTAGTGGAGGCAAGCACTATCCTAGAGAGCATTCTCACCTTTATCAAGGGATATCATGGTCTTGACAACGCCCTCCAGGGGGCGTCTGGTCTGTCGTCGGAGTTGGCATTGTCCGAGGCTCCAGACAGTTGCACTACGATTGATACGGTCACCAGTCGTTGGTCTCGAGACACTACCCGCTGGTCGCTGTGATTATGGATGGAACTGTGATCACCTTGTTGTTAGTGATGTGAGTGGCCCAATGAAGTTGAATTGCCCTAATGCTGCTGCTCCTGCATGCTCCTCGTTGACTCGTCTCCTGCATCCGTTACATTGTCGAGTTGGATTATATCGTAACCTCCCCTCCAGAGTAACCTCTGAATTAGTATATGAGCGATGGGGATGGCTGTGTCGATGGGGCCGTGGACTCCTTGCCCAGGTCTGCAGGGCCTTGATAAGGGACTTCGATACAGCTGTTGCTGGGCTGCTCACATGTCCAGCTTCGTCTCGTCACACCACCAGGGTCCCGATCACAATTACTCGATGGTCTTACCCATCCCGGCGAGGCGGCAAGGGCTATGATGGGGAAAGTTAGTCGCCGCTCGATGGCTACCTGTTGGGCCCAATATGGACGGTCGTGAATGTGTGGTTGGGCGTTGCTGCTGCTACTGCTGATGCAATAATTATATGAACATGCTCTAGTATGATTGGGGACGTCGATGGTAGTAGTGAAAATGAATCAAGGATATTGAGGTGGCGTTAGGACATGTTTGTTGGAATATATTTATTCATATCAGTGGGGGAATACTTCTGAGTCGATCTATTGGAACGCGTGCTTCGACACGTGAAGGGGTTATAACACGATCTCCACGTCTCGGCTGCTCACATGATGTTCCTACTACCCTTCTAGTGACTATGTGTAAGCCTTCGTCATCATCGTCATGAACCCTAGCAACCGACTACCATCAGCAACTATAGCCTTACACTTCACAGGCTACATATCTACTGTCCTCCACAGTGTGGGAATGTGTTGCTGGGAATGTGGGAATTCTGAGGAAATTTTGGGAGACATTATCGTTGATTTTCGTATACTTCTACCCAAAATCGTCTGGATTTTCAAAATGTAGTGAGGAAATTTTGCTGAGTTGAGGAAATCAAACACATATTCCCTCACTGGTCCACACTTACCAACTCATTAACTGCATTTCATTTCTGTGTTGTAGAGTTTGCTCTCCTATGCCGTACCATAGCTCATGTCTATTCTCATTCACAATCATGCTTGCTCGGCGCCCGTTGTCGTCACATCAGTGTGGTGTTAGTCCATAGTAGGGGGAGCCAGCAGGGTCGGCAGGGTGGGTGGGGTGAGTTCTATCTGTTGGTTGATGGCTACATATACTGATCATGCTACTCGGGAGTACGAGCCTTCGAGCCCCCTATCTTATTACTGTCAATGCAGAGGACCAGATCATACAGGATGGATGTGTAGCGTGGGACACTCGGTGAGACTACTCGGGGGGGAAGGGGAGGCGTTACCTTAGCGTCAGGACTAAACGGATAACACACGTATGTCCTACAGCTGAGCTCATGCATAACAGTACCTAGAGCACCACGTCCTCATCCCGGGCCTCATCAACTGCCACACTCATTTTGCTATGACCTTACTAAGAGTAGGGAGCCCTCCGATGCTATTGTGATGATGGGAGACGCCTTCCTCAGGGGTTTGCTGATGATTTGGAACTTATGGATTGGCTCGATCATTATATATGTCCCGCCGAAAAACGGTAGTGACTTTTCTCTCGAGTCGGGAGCTCTTTATATTTCGGGGTTCGTAGTTGCTTTCGGGCTCATTGTGTTGTTATCCTGGAGTATTGACATTAGAGAGTAGGTTCTTGTCGAAAGATTATATAACGTTGGGCACCCAGATGGGAGTTTACGAGATGCTCAAAACGGGTAGGTCTGGCTGTTATCAGCCGCCTGGCTCGGCCCCCCTCTGGGACCCACTGGAGTTTCACCACCCTAGTGATATGAGAAGTACTAGTGAAAAACACATTTCACGACTACTGCATATCACCGCGAACAAAGTCGCGTTTTAGGCCACTTCAAGTAGGACAGGTGTAACTCCACGGTTGATTTGTGATAGACTGGTCGAGTCGGCTGCTCCTCAGGCACCATATGCTTCCTAGACATGGCCGGCTGACACCACAGCAGTCACCGTCCAGGCTGCTGGCATCAGGTCAGACGGGTGGTGTCCTCCATATCAGCTTGTTGGTGGCTAGGTGCTTCAACGGTCCCGCTATCATAGACTTTGGGGATGGCTCTGTCGATGGGATCATTGATCTGGCTCGCGGTATTTAGTGGAGGTAGAAGTAGCGTCTATGACGGCTGATGGTCATCAGGTCAAGCGACTCCTGGATGCCAAAGTCAATGTTTGGTTGGGGACCGACTCGGCATGGTCGAACAATTCCTGAGTTGTAATGGCCGTACTTGATAGGTGCTCACTATGGCCCCACCTGATCTCAACCAGATGGAGCAGTTCCGTCGGCGGCTGGCCGAGTTTAGGAAGGAGGAATGTGGCCGTCGGGTGCGCGTGCAGTCTCATAACTATCGAGATGACGAACAACGCTAGAGGACGGCTTCTCGGGATTGTCGGTTCACGTTTATTTCAAAGACCAAAAGTCATCGGCGAATTTGATATTTGATTTACATGAAGGCTGACTTGAGGTCGCCTCGCTTTCATTCTGATCCAGTATTGCGCAGAGTTGATTCATTGTGAGTATTCCTGTTAGTCTTTCTTGACCCTTGATGCCTCTAGTAGTGCTCGTCTAATGGTACGCAGTCATCACCATCGTAGTGCATATGCTGCCAAGTTGTTCGCTGTGGAGGAGTCTAGGCGGAAGGACACGGCGGACCAACCCTTTACTGGGTGTCTCACCATGGCACTGTTACGTCATGATACTGCTGACTTCAATGGGATGCCCTTTGTGGTCTCTGCACCTGTCCTAGACCTAGATGAGGACTATGTTATCGGGTACGTCGTCTCCTTCATACACATTCATACCACTCCTTCTTCAGATGCCATGTGAAGCTGGTCAATCCTGCTACATGTTCCGTGTCCCTCCTGGGGTGGGTGTCATCAGCCTGTTGTTATCGATCTCTCGAGAAGCACCCTGCAAATGTCTCAGGAAGTATCTCACCGCTCAGCCCACATGACATGAGTGTTGTCGTTTGTTCAGATCATTACGTGCTTTCGGTTTCGAATCGTCTGGCGGAAAGCGTTGGCCTCTCGAGGGACGTGAAAGAGGTCTTTGTAAGCAACTCGTGATTCTCCTTGGTTTTTTCGGTAAATTCCCTTGTTTTTGGTAATTTCTCTTTTTTTTCTGGTAAATTCCCTTGTTTTTGGTAATTTTTCTTGTTTTTTTCTGGTAAATTCTCTTGTTTTTGATAATTTTTCTTGTTTTTCTAGTAATTTTCTTCTCTTGGTGATTACCTATGTTTTTTCGGTATCTTTCTCTGGTCTTCTTGTTGACTTTTCCTTTCCATTCAGCTTGAAAAGTTGTCTCAAAACGAGCACTCCCGTACGAACTCCTGGCCTACATTGGAGTCAGTCGAGATCATCATCCGGAGTCGATTTCTAAGCAAGAGGGATGTGTGGAGGTTCCAACTGAAGTTGTTGGGCGCGGTCGTCTACAACAACATGCCGCCACCGTTCTCGGACTCCCTCTACTGTGCAGAGGTTGTGGGCATGACGTCCAACCCGGCACCCGTCAGCCCGTCCAAGCTGCGCCGGAGGATAGCTGGTGAGCACTCTTCTTGTTTTCTTTATTCTGCTAAGTTCTTATTGGTGATGGTTTTTCCGAATAGTATGTTCTTGAGAATCATCCTTGTCATTTTCTCCTGTATTGATCATTTGGTGGTATGTTCATTGATTTTGCGAAGGTGTCTATTCGAACGGTGATTATCGTAGAATTTACGTGGAAAACAGTGAGAAGGCTATCGTCGTTTCCGTTCCGGTTTGAGGAGTGGGTATTAGACCTCGGAAATGTCGTCGAGGTCGTTTATTGCTCGAAAGGAGGCTGTCGGAGATCATTGGTTTCGCATTTAGGCCCGACTTCAACTCATTTGCTGAGATCATGTGGGATAGTCGGCAGCCAGACGAAAGTTGTCTTCCGGACAATGAGCTCCCACTTGAACATTTACATACACTTGTCGTGGGAGATGTGGTGCTTCGCCCAGGATGGCCAACCCCACTTCGAACGGGCCCTGTCCTTCCTCATAAACCTACTAGCTGGTATACGAAAGGCCGGCACCATGTGCAATCACTATCTCACTCTGCTTACGGCGATACGACTGCAGCCTGTGGACCCGGACAGGGCTGGCGTGGGAGACGACGTGCCACCTACGGGGGAAGACGGCAAATTCGTTTTCGACGATTATTATGATATTATCTACGACGGTATGACGTCGAAGTTGGACACTGGAGAGCTGGTCCGAGGCCTCCGTAGGATGTTTCTGCAGTTCCCTAGTGCGATAGGATGGACACCGCCATGCTTCCCTAATAAAAGTCATGCATCACGTAAACTGAGCTGACTGTATGTTGTAGATATCTCCGGTTGATGATCAGGACAAGTGTGGCCCGACAGTAGCTCGTGTTTGTCGCCACACAAGCGCTCTAGCAGTATGATGACAGTTGATCTCAACGGCAATGGTGAGGGTGACTGCGGCGGCCGCAGGAAACTGGTGTTGTGATCAGCGTCTAGATGTGGACTGCGCTTTGATACAGAGTTGAAGAACTGGGAGAGGGCTGACTACCCCCGAACGGGTTGGGTGCCTGCAAGATGCCGAGATTCTAACGTATTGGAGTGCATCTCGTTGAGCGCTGACCAGTTTGATCAAAATCACTTGGATAGGAAGCTGTACACGACTGGACAGGAAGTAAGACTATACGCTTTGCCGTAATCGAGATGAGATTTGTGCTGTTCTTTTAGGTGGTGGTGATAGCCGCGACCGATGGGGTATTCCGGGCTACATGTGAGCCTAAGGAGGACTATGTTGAGTGCATCAAACGGAAGTGTCTACAGGGCGTATTCAGTGCGAAGGTTATCTGCTTACGACCACCTCCTATGAACCAGGTGAACTTGGTGTAAAACTCCACTTCGTTAGTGCCCATCTTATTGCCCTGTGATCATTACCCTCGCAATGAATGCCCTCATGATGTTCATCTCAGGCGCCTATCATCCTCATCTCCAAGGATCAGTCTACTTGCAGACGACCGAAGTCTCGGAATCCCGACATGCAACGTTTAGGCGATCAGTGGGAGCTCCCTCGTCATTTCCTCAGAGTAGTTTTCTCTATGTCAGAGGCTCGTGGCTCCACTCCCACTTTGACGTATATGATGCCTCCTGGCTGAACATAGTTTACTATCCGTCTGAGGGAAAGTGTTGCAGCTCTAGAATGCGTTTCCGCGGTATGACATCAGTGGTGTCGCACCACTCATCAAGAGGATTCAGTTTTCATGCAGGTTTCTTGCACTCATCATTGACCCCGCTTTTGTATAACTGTCGAGAACAGCAGATCAAGATGAATGTGATGCCCTACACTAAGCTGTGGGCCCAGGTTGGCGTCTCCTACTGCTGCTGCTGCTGCTGCTGCTGCTGCTGCTGTTCGGGTATCCGACAAGGTGTCCTCAGGCTGAGTGTGCCATCATCCCACACACTGAAGGGGTCGATGATGAGTCCCTTTCCGACCGTGAGGAGGAGGAGGATGATGAGGCTGCTGATCATAGCGGAGTTGATCTATCCCTCGGCGGTGTGCCGTTACGGATACCACAGACCCCACCTCCTGATGGGGTCCTGGCGGGCAGCTCTCCCCTCACGCCCCGGTCCCCCCGCTCTGGTGTCGGCTTCCTGGGAACCGCGGCGGCACCGGCAGCTGGCTACACTCGAGATAACTGCTATACCTCTCGGATGATCACGGAGCTCTCGGCGTTCAAGGTGAGGTTAATCGCTTCGAACGTAATGATGATCATCCAAAGGGGCGCTTCACTCAGGCTTGCCAGCAGGACCAGAGCCTATCACAGTTTCGTCATGTGAACAGCCGAGGCACCCAGTATCATTATCATCATCAACAACAACAGCAGCAGTTGCCAACTTCGTTTTTCCATACTAGAAGTTCGACCGGCAGCAGTCAGCGGGGCGCTCCTCTGTACCCCCCTCTGTTGTCCAACAGGTTCGGCTCATTGCTGGACGATGTAAGCAATGGTTGAATAACAATAGGGGATAACATGGTCGGTCACTTTAGGGAAATATATCCCAACTTGTCGTACCACAACTCCAGCGAATCGTCCTCGAATTGAACAAACGTGTAGATCAAAACTCGCAGATGCAAGTGGACAATTGGGTTGTGACCAGTGAAGAAAGCGTCCGAATGTCTATGATGCTGGTGAGGATATTGCGAACGTCATCATCTTATGCCTGGTCGACTTAGGCTAAGCATCATCTAGATGTTCGTCGTATGCAGTTGATGCGGGGTAGAGGCACCCCTGGTGGTCGAGCTCCTCTGCCGTTACCACCAGTAAGGCCAGAGCTCATGAGCCGGACTGTGTGTAGTCTGCTGTGGTTTAGTCGTCTGGTGGTGCTGGTGGCCTGGCGAAGTCGCATTCTCTCACACGCATACAGCAGATCAACCGTACGATGCATGAGCTCATCGGTGAGGCCGGCGGAAACATCTAACAGACGACTTGATAAGGAAGATCTTGTTTCTTAGGTGTTCGTCTGGCAATGGGTCAGCAGCTTGTAGAAGATAGGCAACAAAGCTGGTCCATCTACATAGCCAATGTCCAGATGAACGGTATTGACTCGAGTTGGAAGTTGGAGCAATTCGAGGATGGTGGCAACAACATACTCGTGACCAAGTGAGTAGTTGTTCACTCAGTGTAGGATACCTCTACTTCTCCGTCTGTCTAGGTATAGACCCCTCATGCTTGATCCTAGTAGCACTTCTGGCGGTGGCCGAGGTCGTATGCCACCACCATCCGGTGGTAGCTACGGTCGTATATCATCTAACTTATCGGCTCCTTCCCCGAAAAGTAAGAGGTGACTACTTGTCCGTTGGAGTAGTATTACCATATTGTGTGTCATTTTCAGACCATCAGTTGGCACGGCCCAACTCTACTGTGGGAGTAGCGGTGACGAACAGGAGAGCGTCTGTGATCGAGTCCGAGCCGCCGCCGCCGCCACCTCCTCGCACGTCTAAGGTGAAGGAACGTATATTAGCAACGAAGTGAGGCTCTTGAGGGCAACTCGTACGCAGTCTTGGGGTTCTCATAGATACAAATACTATGTGCGACGGAGGCCCGGGTTGTCCAACTGTAGCGGCGCCAACTCGGCGTTCGCGTCCCCTGTTGAGATCTGTGGCGATGACCTCAGGAGTCACAATGGACCGGCGATGTCTCCCCGCAACTTGTCACTAAATGAATGTGGGCTAACCGAGAGTGAACCGCTCCTACGGGGTTTTCTCGCAGGCCCGGATTGTGAGCAGTTCTCGAGAGGATACTTTATACATACTAGGAAGTGGCTGCACAACTCAATGCACGAGTTCCCATGGAACAGTTTGGACATGCTGGTGTCGCAGCAGTCTCCTAAGATCCCTAATATGGTAACGTCCTGTTGCTCGCTGGGTCTTCAGACGTCTTGGACATTGAATTCAATTCAGATGATGGAGTAATTTCCTTTTCTCCTACTCCCGAGAAGCGTTTTTTCAACTCAGAGTTTTGAGCGTGTCGGAATCTCTCCTTGTTTGAGTTGACTCGTCGAATCGTACGACGTGGATTTGGATGCTCAGTTTTGTCGTAGGTCCCACCAGCATTGAAGGCAGATAGTGATGGTCCGCATGAACTACGTTGGCTACTGAGATCTGCCCTGAAGACCCTCGTAGGCCCTGCCAGTTCGCAGTGTATACCATCCATGTCCCGCCTCAGATGTTCGCATTAGTCCCCTCTGATCCGGAGTTCTCTCATGAGAGTTTCCTCCGAGATATACCGGAAGGTCTCGGTGTGGGGTCAGATCCTTTTAATGATAATGCTAGGCAGCATCGTCGAGGGGACTATGATGCTCAGCTGGTGGAAAGATTCCGAGCATGGAAGAACAAGGTAGGGCTGGGTCTTTGATAAGGTGGTTATATTCTGTTGTTGTTGTTGTTGTTTCTTTTGTTGTTGTTTCTGTTGTTGTTGTTGTTGTTGTTGTTGTTGTTGTTGTTGTTGTTGTTTCTGTTGTTGTTTTTGTTTTTGTTTTCGCTGTTGTTGTTTCTGCTGTTGTTGCTATCAGGTGGAAACACAATGCGGCATTCCTATGATACCAGTACGAGTCGATCGGCCCGGCCCAGATGCAAGGTCTAGGGGTTCCGGGGGGAGCAGCAACACTTGTAGCTTTGGTGCATATGCTACGATGTCGGTTCGAGTGAATGTACGGAATAGTCATCTCTTCATGCCCAACGACTCTACGAATGGATGCTGGGGAGGTCTTGATGAGAAGAAGGAGTTGTGCAGAGATTGGCTACAACTGAACTTTGATGAGAGCTTCCAGCCCCCGAGGTGAGCAGCAGCCTCTAGGTCGGGTCAAGTTCAGTGGTATGCCAACTTCAGGTTGTTCCTGATGTCCATTGACTGGGTCACTTGTCATGCCAACTACGTGGTGCAGATAGTGGACAAGCTGGCTCAGTGTGCTGCGGAGGAGGGGTTCACTCTGGTATGGTCGTGAGCCTATGCTGGTGACGAGTCGCCTCTTGTTAGGTGGAGTTGCCAGTAGCTCAGCTATTCCCTCAACCGGTGCCTTCACCGTTGTGGAATGAAGATCGAGAGTTATGCTTTCATCGACTGCCTTTTAATCGCCGCATAACGATGCGGTTTCCTCCCGATGTAGCTTCTAGTACGACCACGCTCTTCCATAAGAAGCTCCTCTATGATCTATGCACTGGGTTGGACCTATTAGTCTGCTTTTTCTGCGAGGACAGAGGACTCAAGGAGGTACAAGTATTCGCCATTCCAATGGCGAGAATTTTGCTCTTCGTTTGTAGGTAGCTGTTGACACCGATGAGAATGGTCATGAGGCTAAACAGCAAGACCGCAGAGTGAGGCAACTCGACAGTCGCCTTACTGGCTGGACCACTATGAATCGTGACGGCACTTTCTTTGTGGCGATCCGCCCTGGCAGACTAGACTGGTATGAGAACTACCTCACAGCTCACGAGGCCGGCGCCCTCTCGTTGAAGCGGATCCGAGAACGTGGTCGAGCTAGCGTAACCCAGCGCGAACGGATTTTCGCCAAAATGAGGAGCATCGTTCATACTGACATAGTGCGCTTCCGCGAGGAGAAGGAGAGGGCCTTCTCAACACAATCCGAGGATGATGATCTTGTGGTTCGTCGTACTGCTAGTTTGCCTAAATAGATGCTTTCTCCTTGCACCATTCACTCCACATTTGTCCAGTGTACAATTGGAAGGTCTCGTTAGCAATGGATGTTGAGTTATATAGTAGGGTCGGCCTGGCGAACACTCTATCGAGCCGCGGCTCGTCCGCAATGACGTAGTTGGGGAACGGAGTGGGGATAGTCCCTACTAACCTCGTAAGCCTCGAAATAAGAGAGCATTCGGGATCGTTGGTGATTCTGGACGATCAAGTGGTGGTTCTACTCAGTGGAGGGTCTTGGTACAATATAGGGGAGTAGTGTTATGCTGCGTGCTTCAAGTTCTCGCCTTCTAGTAGAAGGTTCGTAGATGCCAAGGGTCTCTACATCTACGAACCTTCTTAAGAGAGTCTATCTCGGGGACGTCACTGAATCGCTCGTCCAAGCTAGCGCCTCCAAGAGGCCAAGGAAACAGTACCATTGAGAACATCATTATATTAGTCTCCCCGCATCGGTGCGAGCTCGATTAGTTAATGTTCCTGTCGCTGTTTCACCCTCTCGTTGTAAGTATAGTGCGGGGAGGAGCTAGCGATGGACCTGTGATGGGTCGACTAAGTAGCGGCAGGTCTGTCGTGATTGCTTCATGCGTGGCTTATTAGCTCAATGCGAGCACTCTTTCATCTGTCCGTCACCTGTGCGGGTGCTGCTGCCTGACTCATCCAATGTGGCTAACAGAGCTTTTTGTTGAATGTTCTCTATCGGCGGAACGTCAATAGCAGTTTGCAAGCGGCACTTCTCCACAAGGTCACTGAGCGTTAACCCCATAATGAACTCGCCCTTCGGGTCCACCTGCCCCTACCCACTGACCGTACCCCCCGTGCTGAGCCACGATATGGACGAGCTGCATCAGATGTACACTGACTTGATACTGGGAATGGAGCTGGCCGTCCCGGGAACAGGACCCGACACCTGGGTGACACTCAGCCGGAGCAGGTACGACCTCATCAAAGGTCTTTTCCCTGTCGAATGGAGCCTGGGCGTGGCCAAGATTGGCGGAGGCCACTACCAATATCCACACGATGTAGATGATGTGGAAAGGGCCTTCCTGTTTGCTCGAGAGGCCATAGTGAAGGAACGGCCGGGGGTGATCGTCCTGGGCCCTCTGACAGAGGAAGGAGACGTTCTGGCCAATTGCGAGTACAGCAACTTCGTCGAGATGCTCATTCAGTCCGCTCGAGAGGCACGGCCGGAGACCAGAGTTGTGTGGGACGAGACTTTGGTGGGAGCCCAGCTTCTCGTGCTTTGGACGTCGCCGACGTCACGTCGGGTGTCTGCTCGCGGCGTAGAGGGTTCGATGAGAATTCGCCTTGGGAGGTTTTCGTTCGACACGTTTCTCCATTCAGCCGAGTCGCTCATGATACTCCCTTCTTCAGGGTGGCTTCGGCCGTATAGCAGGGGCCCGGCCGCAGCTGTGGTCGACCGAGTTCTTCCTCAAGGCCATCACGCCCGATGCCACTATAATACCCTCTGTGTACGGTCTTGACGCTGCTCTGGTCGGCTGTGTGGTTAACCAAGAGGGTAGCGCCGATAATGAAGGAGCCCTCAACGACGATGACGAGTTGCCGTCGGTTATTGATCTCAACCGAGAGGTGGGGAAGGCGACCTCTCATTCTCTTCCAACGTTCACTGTGGCATTTCGTAGGTAAATGGCCTCAGAGATTTGGTTACCAGCGGCCTCAGCCTCCCCACAGCCTCGGCCTACATTGGTAGCTACATATATAACAAACTCTGGAACGAGCTCATAGGACGATCTCGAGTTGTTGTTGATGTTCATCACCGCGGCTGCTGGATCGCCATAGAGGTGCTGACCCTTCTTGGCAGCTCTCAGAGTTCTCGGTTCTCTTCTAGGTCCTACATGACGAGCTAAGGTCCGACAAATTGCCGGCGTGTACGAGGCTGATCAGTAGATCAGATCATGATGTTCTCCTTGTGTGCCCACCCTTTGCATACGAGGATCCTCAAACAGCTCTGCCTCATGCTGATGAGCTCGTACAGTGCATGCTTGACCTGTTCCTCCATACAGAGTGATAGTCGTTTCTGGTAACTACAGTTTCTGTGTTAGCAGCAACCAGTTGTACTGCGGTCAATATCCACTGCTCTTCACGCCAAATTGATAATCTCATATGAACCCTTGTCGTTAGCCTGATGAATGCAAATACCAGCGAGCCGGGTGTACACTTGCTAAGTGCCTTGAGTTAACTGTTCTGGTAACAACCCTTCCATCGAGACCGCGACATGAAGTATTCACTAGCTGTTCCATCTCATCGATTTAGCGCGTAGGGTACATCCAAGTTAATACCAATCCCGAATGATTATTTACGAATCCGAACGTGAACGGACTGGTTGAGCGCAACATTATAAACTTTGAGAGACGCGTTTACATTTGAGATCCATCTTAAACAGTAATACTAATAACGATAGGTGATCAATGACATACACCTCCACAAATCATAATGTGTAACTGTACGTTACATCTTCGACTTACCGAACTGCCTCTCAGTTGACTCCGACCCCTGGCTGGCAGTGGAGGTTGAGCCACCAGTAGCCAGACCAACCATAGAGTCCATGAAATCCGCGCCACTCCACCTCTGGTGCGTCAACAGCTCCACCTTATTGGCACGCTCGGCCCTCTGCACATCTCTAACGTAGGCAAGCATATTCTCCTTGGCATAGTTCTTGGCGAAGACATCACTGTGTAAGCCTGACAGATGGAAGCCAGCCAGAGTGATGAACTGCCACACATAACCCAGCTTGCCGATGTCCTTCTGGAAGGAGGCGATCTGCGAATCAGTCATGCCAGCAGCATCCCAGTTGAAGCTGGGAGACAGGTTGTAGCCGAGAAGAATCTTGTCACCATGAACCTTCTTAATAGCACTGGCAAAATCGAAACACTGAGAGTAGACGGGTTTCTTCGACTCCATCCAGAGAATGTCGCAGTAAGGCGCGAATGCAATACCGCGGCTAATGCACATCCTAGTGCCGCACTTGATGCGATAATAGCCTTCCCTGGTACGAGGGAGATCCCAGCACCAGAAGGGAACAGTGCCAAGCAACCTCTTAGCCTCAGCACGCATCTCGTCGATACTCATGAACATACTCTTCTCCTCCCATTCGGTCACAGACTTGCCCATGGTCTTCAGTTTGCTCGAAACGAGGTCAGGGAAGGTGGTCAGCTGAGCATTCATGACCCAATCAGTCTCAAGCTTAGATATCTCCTCAGGAGAGGCTCCACGGTGGACAGCAGCGTCAACCTTACCCTGTAGAGATTCCTTCACGTTAGGATTTGAAGCACCAACAATGAAGCTATGATCTCTAGGATCGATGTTAGTGTCCAACAACGTGGCGGCCTCAGCATCAGTACGAGCCACAATAATTGTCTCAACGCCAAGCACGTCGGTCATCAACCGAGCAGCCACGAGACGGTCAATGTGCTCTCGCGTAGAGACGAGCACTTTGCCACCCATGTGGCCACATTTCTTGGTGCCAGGCTTCTGGTCCTCGAGATGGACACCAGCTGCACCGCGCTCTACCATCATCTTCATAAGCTTCATGACAGCAGTCAAGCCACCATGACCGGTATCACCATCGGCAATGATCGGAGCGAAATGGTCGACGGCTGGATTAGCCTGACGTTCAGTCTCGGTCATACCAAATCTCTCTTGGTGCTGCTTCTGGTCATGGAACACTTGCGCACGGAAGAGCTGATCCACCTTGTTCGGAACCGTATTGTAGGGATAGTCAGCGAAATCCGGGCCGGGTTCGTTAGAAGTAGAGGCCGTCGAAGAACTCTGCCAACCCGAGACGTAGATGGTCTTGAGGTACTTCGCCATCTGTGTCACTTGGACTGGATCCAAGGCACCGAACGTAGGCAGGAAACCACCAGTCCGCTGAGCTTCCTTGAAGGCCTTCCATAACTTCTTGCTCATAGCATCAGCAGGGTACTTGGTACGACCAGCTTTCTGGCCACGAAGACGGGCGACATCCTCTGCCGAGTACAAGCGACGCTTCCCAATCCAACGATCAGACTTCCACCATTGCTTGATCTCGGCCACGTCAGAGGAGAACTCGGCAGATTCAACGGCTGCAGGAATTAGAGACATAATGCTAAAAAGTTGGGGTCTTGAGGGTCAATGATGGTGATTCAGATGCAGAACGCACGTTGAATCTTGCGCTCGCCCTGATCGATAACCAATCACGTACGCGAGTACATGACGGACTTGGGTACTGAACCACGCAGTTTACGTTGCTCACGATGCAGGTCTCATGATTCATATTTGGGCCGATCGCTTTCTTCTTGGAAGCTTTTTTCGGACTCTCATACCACATGATATGAGCTCACTCTTCGAATAGAAAGTGAACGCTGCATATGTCCTACGAGTTGTTAATAAGTATTCACAGTGCGAATTTCACAATGTGTGAAGTCCGCAGAGAAGGCCGAGTGTTGGAACATTCTGACATGTTCCATGGACCCTTTGGGAAGGGCTCCCAACGACTGATTCTCGTGTAATTCAACATCGTTAAATCCGCTATGGCAAGCATTTACAGCAGATACAGGGTGGTGCAAAAAACGGGACCGCTCCTGATAATTTCGCGGCAAGCGACAGTTCGTGAACAAAGGTGCCATTCGAAAGCGCTCATCGAGCTCTCTCCAACGCTGTATGTACGGTTCTTCTATCCGTATTGCGTTCGGAGGTATCGTCGAACGCAAAATCGCCTACATACCCGTACCGGTTTTAACTTCGAATGATTCTCATCAGCTCCGAACACTTTTTCATGGGAATGTGACTTATGAAAACCAGAAAACGAAGCCAAGCAATTCTATCATAGAACACGACACTTGGAGAACTAGAGAAGGAGGGCCGGTAAGGCCAATGGTGAATACTAGACTAGTGTAAAAAGTATGGACCATTCATTGTTCCGCAACGATGTCAAGGGTGATACCAAGAGCTACTTAGATTAATGACGTACGCTCAAGAATGATGCATCATCGACGTGATTCTTTATATGGAAAACTCACCTTGGCGACTGATAACCTACTGCAGAGTTGACGCCTCGATAATAAGTAGGCTCTATAGTTCTAGCTCACTTCAACGCTCGGCTTCACACCGCCTACTCCTAAAGACATCTCACGAAGTATCTTCCTCCTTCGCCAGCCAAGTAATGCCAGTATGACAGCAGCGATAAGTAATACTATACCCACAGCGAGCAAGATACCAAAGAGAATGTTAAAAAGAGTAGGGCCAGACTGGAGTGTCTTAACAGCGTCAATCTGGAATCCAAAAGCCGTCTGGTGTTTATTCAACCAGAAAGCCGGCAAGAGGAGCCCGTCAGTCATGTTGCCGGTCTGACCATTAGCTGTTGGGGGGAAGGCAACGTTCAGCTGCAGTCTTTGCTGACCATTAAGTAGAGCGCCAGTCAACGGCTCCGTAAAAATGTCAACTGTGAATTCTCTCGTCCCCTGACAGTCAGAGTCACCAGTACAAGATACGATAGAAACCCTTTCGCCAGGATGATAGTTATCACGGGAAGAGGTTCCAGGAATCAACGTGAAGTGTGGCAGAGAGGCATAAACCGGTACCCGAACTGTAGCGGGAGTAGGAGAGGAAAAATACCCAAGATTAAGTGTCCCACGGGGGGAATCGCAATCGATTCCGGCCGAGTTTCCAGGCTCGGAACCATCACAGTTCTCCACACGAAAATCGATATCTTTGAGAGTCCACCTGTCAATTTTAATGCCTCTCCAGTCAGAGTCGGGCTCGATGTTCTTAAGGGTCGCGGCTGAGAATATTTGGCCAACGAAGAGCCGGGCTTCAGCATTCACCTGGTGGAATTCGTCCGTCCCCTTACCATTCAACGTACCAGGGACAAACTTAGCGTCCCAACCAGCAGCGTAGTTAGGTGTACACATATCGTTAGCCACGCACGTGCCATTTTGCGCAAACGAAGCCTGCGCCATGCAGTCACGGTCGAAGGCACAGTTCTGAGTCTGGCCATTATACATCTTGAAGTAGCTCAACCCCTTCCAATCAGGTATCTTACTACTACGGTACTGCTCGGTAGGAGGACCGTTAGTTACCGGCCTGGCGAAACCAAGAGTAATAGGCTGACCCGTAAACCTGTCTGGGAACGCCTGGTTGTCCCAACCTACCATTTGTGCAATCGTCATCCTGATGAACCTTGGATAGAACTCGTAGTCAGGATCGTACAATGAACTGCTCTTATTAGCATATGGGAAGAGAGAGAACCTCATAGTGTCGTAGTTGGACAGACCATAGGAGCCAGCATAGTTCAAATGAGCGCTCCAAGCAGCCGCCTCGGGTGGCGTTAGGAACCCTTTCAACAGGAGTAGCAACTGGAGCACAGCACTGTTGTTATCCGTGAAGTCAGTGTCCATGATATAATTGAATATCCTCGTCTTAGCGTCCTCCGAGAAAGTAGCGAGGATTTCCTTCTCAAGGTCAACATCTGCGCCACTGTCAGGGTTGAACTTGCAGCTATGATTGGCGTCTTGCTTGGTGACGCAACCAAACGCATAAGCAAAGTAGTCGATAGCCATGGTAGCTGGTGGGAGCATCGACAGGTCCAACGTCGGTACGATACTCTTCAGCTGAGGTCCAATGGCCTCCACATCTATTTCTTGATTCCCCAACAACCTCGTCAAACCGGCATCGAAATACTGAGCACGCATCGCGTTCCTCGTATTCCCAAAAGTGTTGTTGATTATGCCCTCAACTACGGGAGCAGTCTTGACCAGAGTAATGACCAGATTCGTCAATCGTTGATATGTACCGCATAAACCCAGCATCTGGAGAACTTCCATGGTATTCACCTCCTGCCCACTTTGAGTGACTGTACTTAGCAAAGCTACGTGAGGGACAAAGACCTTCTGCTGCAACCTATCAGTCTCATCCTTATCAGCAAAGACGAAAGTGTTAGTCTCATTCCAATGGGCTATACCTTCCTTGTTCCACTTATCGACATCAACCGAGGCCTCAATACGCTCTTGAGTCTGAGCAGCATGTATGGGAGGTAGCTCTTGCACAATGGGCTTGGCGCCATCCCTGAGGACCTCTGCAGGGTTGGTAACGTTGAAAGCGTAGAAGTCATGAGGCATACCCCTGAGGCAGTCCTCGGGCTTGGAGCAACCGTCCTTGCTAGCATCACACCAACCAGAGGCCGATGCCAATGGTTTAGTTGCAGGAGTGCTAGAGCTGAGACAGATATCTCGGGCCTTGGAAGAGTTGACCAACCAGGCCTGATAGGCCAGACCAGAGCACGTGGCATCACCAACAAACATATTGGAACAGTCTGTCGTCTGAAATGTGTTGTCAATGAAACGCGCTTTGTCGATACCATCGATCAATTGGGCTTCGAATAAGGTCTTAGACAAGATGGCGAAGACAATTGCCACAATGGCAATTACGAGACATACTATGGCTAGTACGAAGTAGACCCAAGGATGACATCGTAAAGGGCAGCGCCCCCAACAAGTATACCATGCAGCTTTGCTCATGCTACTGTGGATATCAAAAGCACTGAAAAATGGGTAGAAAATCTCAAACTAACTCTGGTGACGAGATCCGTTCCTAATGATCATTGACCACCGAAAAATTGTTCGAAATTTGTCCACCATCCAGCTAGACGCTGATGAAAGTTAACCAGAGAATTCTCGACTAGGGAAGGTGAATACGCGGAAGGACATTGTGCAGAAATGACACGTAAAACGCCGAAAAGACCCGTAAGGCACCGCACTAAAATTGCATGCGTCACGTTCGGAAGAGAAGAGATTGTTTCTGCTACGCCATTGTGATCGATCCACACCTGCTAATCAGAGGCCTATTTCACAAGCCACCATAAGGAGCGAAAATTGTAAAGTACCGTACGGTTTCATTGCAAGGGGCTTTCACATCCTTACGATTTGCGGGGTAGCAGTAAGATAAGATCAGCCTACCGGCTTTGAGGAGGGCGTTTGTGATCTGCAGGAATGATCTGCATATTCTTACAATTTTCTAGTCACGGAATCGGCACGGAATCTTGTACGGTGGGTACATTTGGAGACTATGAAAGACTGTAGCGCAGTAGTGAGAGGCCATTTTCTGTTTTCCTCCTCCTCCTCCTCCGCCCTCTCCTAACGTATAATGAGTTCTGTTGAGGATTCCAATGAAGCCGCTATCGAACAATGGAAGATTCGGAGGTTGATCAAAAGCTTGGAGGCAGCTCGGGGGAACGGTACTACTATTACTGCTACTACTACTATAACTACTAATACTACTACTATTACTACTATTACTACTAATACTACTAATACTACTAATACTACCAATACTACTAATACTACTAATGCTACTACTACTACTACTACTACTACTACTACTACTACTACTACTACTACTACTACTACTACTACTACTACTACTACTACTACTACTACTACTACTACTACTACTACTACTACTATTACTACTACTACGACTCTAGCACCAACAATCACGCACTTCACAGGTACTTCGATGATCTCATTGATCATCCCTCCCAAAACCCAAGTTGCTCAGATGGCAAAGATGCTTGCAGAAGAGTATTGCTATTCTACTAAGTGCATTCCTATCACTCGGGTCATTAGGTATGGTACCGCGTCCAATATCAAGTCACGGGTTAACAGATTGTCTGTTCTTTCTGCTATTACATCTACTCAGCAGCGACTGAAATTGTGAGTTCTCACTCAAGCTACTGTAACAGCCATCACCGTGCTCATATAGATACAATAGGACGCCCCCTAATGGTTTGGTACTTTACTGTGGTACTGTTCTCACTGATGATGGCAAGGAAAAGCAGGTCACTATTGATTTCGAGCCTTTCAAGCCTATCAATACTAAACTGTAGCTCACCGCTCTTATGCGTTGTCATTCCCCCCCTTGCAGGTACTTGTGTGATAACAAGTTTCACACTGAGGATTTGAATCAGCTGTTAGAGTCCGATGACAAGTTTGGATTCTTGGTTATGGATGGTAATGGAAGTCTCTTCGGAACAGTACAAGTAATACACTGTCCTCGTCGCCGGGCCGGACCTGACCAATTCTCTCAGGGCTCTAACCGAGAGGTACTTTACAAGTTTTCAGTAGATCTTCCCAAGAAGCACGGTAGGGGTGGTCAGTCTTCCATGCGTTTTGCTCGATTAAGGCTCGAAAAACGACATAACTATCTAACCAAGGTGAACACCAACTCGAGCCTCGTAGATACAGTACGCCTTTTGATATCAGGTTGCTGAGCTTTTGACGCAACATTTCATCACTAACGATAGGCCTAATATCGCCGGACTTGTACGAATCTCAGAGCTCTCATTTTCCAATTACAAATGGAACTCGTTACAGGTGTTAGCAGGAAGTGCCGAGTTCAAGAACGACTTGGCCAATTCGCAGTTTTTCGACCCACGTTTAGCGGCCATCCTTATCAAAGTGGTGGATGTGAGGTAATACTCATACCAATTTTGGAAGGTGTGTGGAGTGCTCGCCGTCAGCTACGGTGGAGAGAACGGCTTCAATCAAGCGATTGAGCTTGCCTCTGATACGTTGAAGAACGTCAAATTCATCCAGGAGAAAAAGCTTATCACGAAGTACTCCATAATGATGCTCTCTAATACTCACTGATATGAATTCAGGTATTTCGAGGAGGTAGCCCAGGATACGGGAAAGGTCTGTTTTGGTATTGACGATACTCTAAAGGTCGGCAGCAACGCGCTTTCAGCTCATCGCGTTTATGCCCCTTCTTCAGTGTTTGGACATGGGTGCTGTGGAGACCCTTATAGTGTTCGAGAATCTCGCCATCAACCGTTATCACATCCGGAACCCTCATACCGACACTGAGGATGTCCTTTACCTCTCACCCGAACAGTAGGCTCTTTCGCATAGGAGGTTATGATGGCTTGTTATTAGGGAAATACAAGAGAGCTACTTCCGCGATGCTGATACTGGTGTAGAGCTTACTGTGGTGGAAAAGATGCCTATCACTGAGTGGTTGGTCAATAACTACAAGAGCTTCGGAGTCAGAATTACTTCCCTATGAAATGTGTCGATTTAGTTCTCTTCAGGCCAAGTTAGAGTTCGTGACCGATAAAAGTGAGGAAGGCGCCCAGTTCGTCCGTGGGTTTGGTGGTATTGGCGGCCTCTTGCGGTGAGCAGTTCACGATAGGAATAGTGTGAGATCGATCATGGTCAGTTACGCTGTTCAATTGGAAGCCCTCGAGGAGTGGGATGGTGACTCTGATGATGACTTCATGTAAATTGCGTTACAGTCACCAGCACAGGTGATGATGATGACACTGCTGCTGCTGCTGCTAGTCTCACTGGCGTTTGATGATACTCTTAATTCATCTCTCATTATAGTCATCACTCTCTGCCCTACTATTACGAAGGATAAGTACTGTGTATTAATTGTCGTGCTTGTCAATTTATGATAGGGAATGTTGATGGTTTCCAATATCACTAGAATGATCTTGTGTGCAAGTGATAGGGAAATAAAAATCATCACATTTGGTGCCCAGTTGAACAGAACGTATTCTATGCATTGTTCATCCGCCTGGAAACTTCGAAGATGTATTCGTGATGCAGTTGCCTACATTTTCAGTCGGGTAACGAAAGTTGTGATGATTACTTTGCAGTCGTTATTGATCATATAACATGCAAACCGAGAGGAAGCATGTGAATCTATCGGAGACACCCGAATCAACCACAGGTGTTGTGGCACGCCATTTACGTATCAACTGGACCTGTCAATTTCGTTAGTATTTTCAACAATAATACTCACAAGTATGAGGGACTCACAAAAATCTAGGTAACCACCTATCTAACGGAAGCCATGCTCATCGGCATTTCCCTTTCCCCTCATTTAAGCCGCATCAATCTCATTGGCGTATCATCCATATTATTGAACTGTAGCGAGCAGAGTAATACTCTGTATTCAGTAACAGGATCACATACTACCGCCTTCATTACTGTACTTTACGCCACTATGGAAGTTGCTTATTCGAATGAGCATCCGTCACGCATAAAGCTCAGATGCTGTGTACATACTTCAACTAAACACTAGAATATGCATAGTAGTGGTATTGACAACACTACATCATTAATGCACTGCTCACATCTGTAAACGTGAGGAGATGCAATATGGTTAAAAGGTAATAGACAAGCAACAGAATTGATGGCTACGACACTATTGCCATGATAACAGACAATCTACTCCTTACATTATGCCACACTGATAACAGAACTGCGGAGAAGTGATCTCCTGTGTATATATACACTCTATATCAAAACCTCCGTCATTGCTGATGATATTCCAGCACAGATATCATGACAACAACAGAGGCTATCTAATCCTCATACGATTGGAAAAGGTGTCCATCGATGAAGGTCTCATACATATGAAGTGTTTCGAGAGGTTTGTCCATAGGTGCCATATGGCCGGCACCAAAAACACGCAGAAATGCAAAGTTCTTGAAGCCCTTATACAAGCCAACAGGAACCTTCACGATCTCCGCACCTTCACCATTTCCTGAAATCGCATATGATTTCAAAGGACGGATAGGTTCCATAATCAGTTCACCTGATGCTTCTGGGACGGCCTTTTGAGCATTCATTTCTAACAAGGGTTGCTGCGCAAAATCTCTACTGAATTTCCATTCTATTTTCTCAGTCCATGCTTTGTTCCCTAACCAGTTGCATATGAAATCTTGATCTCCAGCATATATCAAAACCTTCGCCCCCGAGGCCAGTACTGTCTGGACAGCGGAAGTGTAGTCGGCCAGGAAATCTCGAGGGGCCAAGGCTGTCCACACCTGAGCCAACCCTACAGCTCAACGAACCACAATAATAGGAATACTCTACCCCTGTGTTGCTCTCGCTCCACGGCTTGATGACGGCACCGAGTTCAGCACGAACGTCAGGGCGATTCAAAAAGCGGTCCAAATGTGAGAAATTGTAGGGGTGGTTCAGTCGCATGTCGTACCTAGTTCAAATGCACAGCTCCTCAAAGCCTGGCTATGAGCTTACTCGTTAGCTCCCGAGGCGAGGGCTTTACTTAAAAGCTTAACGTTGAAAACGTAGTTCATCTCCTGGCATGCAGTCGGCAAGGGTGAATTCTGTGATAGCATCAAATATAATACCACAGTGATGAGGTTCTCTTCACTACCGCGTTGTTGACGTCAAGATGCTTATAGCATTTATCGATAAGATCAACGGTCTCGAGTCCTGCATCGTTCAGTTGTTGGTAAGTAGTGTAGTTTACAATAGAAGGTGCAGTACCAGAATTGTACGCCTGTTGTTATCAATGTTAGCAGACCACGGTGGTGACACTATACTCACCATTTTCGAATACCACTTCACTTGCTCGGCCGGTACTGTCAAACCGTTACCAACAGCCATACCTTTGATGTCTATGTAAACGGGACGACGATGGCTGCCCAGCAGCGAACTCGATGGTGAACCTAGAACATGCCCAAGATGTCATTCCCGGGGCGCAGACTCGAAGTTTACTCAGAAGCTTCTTATTTTCAGTGATGATCTTAGCTGTCACCACTGGAACGTAGTGGCCGCCGTAGGACTCTCCGGTGATGTGAAATTTCTTGTTGTACTGCGGGAATCGATGAAAGAATGCTTGCAAGAAGTGATACATGTCCTCAGCAATCTCAACCTCAGAGGTATCATATGAGCCTGTTGAGAACCCCGTACCTGCCAAGTTTGCATCAGAGTCGATGACGACAACGTAGAAGTCATACCAGGTGGCTGGTCCACCCATAGCATGTTGGTCTTCAGGGTCCAGCTGTACTCGTTATGAACAGTATTAGATCCATCCTCGTTCACACGACAAGGACCATTTTCTGCTAGTAACTGTAAGAACACATATAATCGGTGAATGGTGTATCTACCATACCGCAATCATAGAGCTCGATCCGGGACCCCCGGTGAGCCACATGGTTGTAGGGGCAGCCTCAGTAGGTTGCTGATTGCGCTTTTCGAAGAACCAAAAGAAGTACTTCTTGTCAAGTTTGTCATCAATTGTGAAGTAACCAGAGTACTGCTTCACGTTGGCATCACACAGTCGAGGCTCCCGTAAAAGGAGATGCGACTTCCGCCCTGCTCCGGCAAGATACTCCTGGTGCTCAAAGCCCACCGAGGAGAGGTCGTTGTTGAGGAGGAAGGCAGCGGAGGAGTTCAGCTGCAGCGACTGGGGCCGGTCTGAGAGAAATAACGATGGTAATGGATTTTCCATGAGCATCTCTCGAGGAACCGATTCTGAATGTCGGAACTAGTTCAGTTCCGATACCACACCAGGAGGAAGAGAGCGGATAAGTCAGTGGTTACCTCTATAGGCATTGACGTAGTAGAGGTAGAAGCTGGTGAGGACGGCGAGGACTACAGCGGCCACGGTGGCTTTCTTTTTCATAGACTGCTCACACTTGTTGCCGTTGCGGCTCGTGGGGTTATCAGACAATACAGTATAAGCATGACCACTCCGACCGAGGAGGAGTGATTGCGATAAGGAAGGGAAATCGGCGTCGAGGCTGGCCATTTTAACGTGACACGTTCCGGAATTGGCTGTGGCAAGATTGGCAAATCTTGCTCTCTTGCATTTCCTCAACGGAATTATCAAACCGATTGTCTGATGTAGTAGCTCGAGTAGTGAGTGGAAATGATTATGATGAGCATCGATATAGCTGGGTATTCTCTGCCTTATGGAGCCACAACAGCAGCAACACCAGGAGGACCAACAACAACCCTCGGTTGAGGATAGTTACCCTCGAGGGGAAAAACGTACCGCCGGTGTCGACGCTTCCTGGGATAGCAAAGACGGGCAAGGGCAGGAGCAGCCCTCCTCCTCCTCTTCCTCCACCACCACTCGCCCTGCTAAAATCAGCAACTGGGATGCGGCACCTCCTGCGAACTCGAATGCTACGACGACTGGGGACGAAGATGATGGCAAGTACGAACGAGGGTACATTTCCTGGGTGATACATTTCTTTTGATTTTTTTACTGTAAAAAGCTGTGCATTTCGCCACTCTGATGAGTGCTACTAATACGACTGCAATAATCGACTCTCATTGATACTAATACCTCCCTCAGATTTCATAAGGATGTCCCTTTACCTCATTGGGCCGCTGGTAAGGTCATAGGAAAGCAGGGCGATACCATAAAACGGATACAACGTCAAACTCATTGTGAAGTGAAGGTGGTGACCATCCTTGAATGGCATCATCACTAGTAGTGCTCTTGTTAGTCCGATCATGGTGAACGCGACACTGATGGTAACAGAAGTCTTCATCTCATTGGTGACACTCAGGAAATCCTAAATGTAATAGTACATAATTATCGCATCTCTACTACTGTGAATACTCCTAGGCTTGCGAGGCAGCCATCGAAGAGATCATATTCACATGTCGTAAGCCTGTCGTGGGCCCTGGAGATTCGAAAAAGGAAGTTGTTATTTCCAACGACATAGCAGCGAAGGTCAGCCAGCCCCTGCGGCCCTCGTGTTTGGAAATACGGCTAAGTCAGGTCATTGGCTACAGGGGATGCGTTATTGACGAGATCAAACGACGATCGCATACTCGCATTGAGGTGGTTCCTACAGAGGACGGTGGTCCTGGGGAGGAGAGGACAGTCGTGCTAGTTGGACCTGAGGATAATTGCGAAGAAGGGGTAAGGACTTGCTGCCATCCCGGAGGTATCCGGTTCGAATCCAGGATGTGTCATTTTGTAGGCACGTATAGTACGGGAAATCGTGACTGGCGAGCTCGACATATCACCGATCATTGATGACTTCAAACGGGAGCATCAACTGGATGAATATGATCTTTCCGGGGGCAAGGGTAGCGGCTACCACGGTAAGGGTGGTAAGGGCTACGACTGGCGCGGAGGCAGCAGTAAGGGTGGCTGGGGTGATGACAACTCTCGGTACGCTGGTGGTAATGGTGATTGGTCCGGCAGTGGTAAGGGAGGCTGGTCTGGCAGTGGTAAAGGAGGTTGGGGTAAGGGCAAGGGCGGTGACTATGGTGGGAAGGGCGGCTTCGGCAAGGGAGGTGATGACTCATCCGACTATTATGGTGGTCGTGGTAAGGGGTATGCGCCCAGTCCGGCTCCCTATAGAGGTAAGGGTAACCGTAGTGACCCCTATAGTAGCTCTCGCTATGGCGGTGGTGGCGGCAAAGGGTACGACTCCTACAATAAAGGAGGAAGTGATTCGTATGGAGGTGGTGCTACTAGATATGAGAGGGCAGCAGCCCCTAGTGGTGGTGATTATTATGGTAAGGGTGGCTATGGTGGTGGGAAAGGAGGAGGAGGTCCCGGTGGTGATTATGGCTACGGCAAAGGTGGCCCCTATGCTAAGGGAGGGCCCAGCAACGATGGAGGGTATGGGGGTAGTTGGGGAGGCAAGGGTAAGGGTAAAGGAGGACGAGGCTGGTCCGGTGGTGGTGGTTGGGACTCAAGTCCTGAGGATTCGGGTGCCTCCCAAGGTGGTGGTGGTGGAGGTGGCCCTTCATCGTACAGTAGTAGACCCTGGGGTGGCAGTGGTGATGGGCAGCATTGGGGTGGTGGTGGTAAGGGAGGAGGAGGAGGCAAGGGTGGCTATGGTTACTGAGCGGCAGCGTATGGTCGCTGATTGATCTAATGTCATGGACGTCTTATACCTTCCCTTCTCAGAGTGGCCGAGTCAGTGTTGCTCTAGTTCTATCTTATTTTCCTTCTCGTATCACGTAGCTGAGTTCGGGTGGGTACCTTAGAGGGTTTGGTGATAGTAGTAGCTCCTTTCTGTTGGTGATTGGACCATCTGGTGTAAACCACATTTGAATGTCTTCGTCGTTTCGAAGTCGGACCAGCAACGGCAGCAGATGATGTCGATGGCAGCAGCAGCGGCGGCGTCTATGGGGGGGAGTAGGAAACTCCACTAATATCAACCAACAATTTAACATAAACTACCATTGATGCAATAAACCCGGCTCGCCGAAACCCGATTCTGGACATCGTATGAAATATTATAATTGATTTTATGGACATATACATATTCGTAAAATCATATATTATATTTTGGAGTTTCACCAGCCTAGTGATATGAAAAACATATTCCAAAACTACTGCATATCACCGCGAATATCGCGTTTTTCACGCCACTTCACGTAAAACTCCACCAAACTGATATCCCCAAAAATTTATGACCTCATCGCGCATTTCCTTCCGTTCGGCCACCCGTTCCTCCGCAGCTCTTTTTTTTATTTTTTCCTCAGCTTTATCACGGCGTTGTTGTTTCCGTTTTTGGAATCCTCTCAAATAAGTTGCCTGAAAATCGGATCGAATATCAAAAATTGGACAGAATTATTTTCGATTTTTTGATGGAAAACGTGGGAAAATTAATAAAAGAAATAAAGTCACGAAAATAATAAGTTACTTCAGACTTGAAAT